GGGGGAAGAAAAGGGGGGGGGAAAAAGAGGGAAAAAAAAAAAGAAAGTACAAAAGGCACAAGGCTAGGAACAACTAAGAGAACCAGCCTGGAGCCCAGCCAGCAAAATAAAACAAGCCACAGAGAAGAACAACTGAAGAACACCGAGATCCTCGGTGACGTATCCCCTTCAGCAGGGCCGGGCTGCAGCCGCGCCAGGGACCACGGGTGGACGCTGCGAAGGGACCGGTGTTCCCCCAACCTGGGGAGGGACCAGCCCGCTCCCACCCTCACCTTTTCAAAGCTTTTCAGCGTAACCTCGTACACCAGCTCCGCGTTCGCCTGGATGCCGTATTTCGGCTTCCCCGCCTCGCCGAAGCCGTACCTGGAAGGGCAGAAAGGAGCTGTCGGAGGAGGAGGGGGGAAAAAAAATCTTCATTTCAGCAGCGTTTGGCCATAAACACAGAGCCAGGTCACTAATCCTGGTCCCACAGCCAGCTCCGTGCCTGCAGCTTTCTCATGTTTTGGGGCCAGGGTGATGTTATTCTGCACGAGCAAAGATGTCTGACAATATACAATGCGTTATATATTGGGAATCATCCTCTCCGGATGAATCAAATCCATCTTTTTATACGGGTTTCTCTCCAGTGTAAGGACCCAGCCCTGGCGATTTCCAGGGAGACATTTTCCTTTCAGCCACAGGACCGGGATAAACCCCTTTGACCTGATTTTTGAAAGCATCTCGAGATTCCTGCCTACACGCCACCGGTCACTCTTGCCATCCCCGCTGGCATTGCAATCCCGAGGCTCTCCTGGAGAGTCCCATTTTCGGGATCGCCGCCTTCTGCGAGTGCTAAAACGACCTCGGATGCTGGAAGCTTAAAACTAAGACGGCATCCCCGCCGGGATGCTCCTTACCGTGGCCCGAGGTAGAGGATGCAGTGCTCTCCCCTCTGCATCTTCTCCAGGGCTTTGTCGATGCCGATGGGAATGTCGTGGTCCTCCCCTTCGCCCACGACGAACTTCACGTCTTTGCAGTCGAACCTGGTACCGCCGCAGAATCCCTCCAGGTGAACTGCAGGGGGGAGAGAGGGGACGGGATCGCACCCGGAGCCACCCAAACCAAGGCAAGGTGGGCTCCAAAGAAAGCGTTTTATAAAGAAAAACGTATCTCCCAAAATCCAGCAAAACCTCCAGGCTGGGAAGGGGGAAGACACGGGGCTGGGAGCAGCCCCTGGTGAGCAGGGAGGGATGGGGAGGGCTTGGAAACATCACTGAAAAGCAAGACAGGCATATCTCGTCTAACCAAGGACCAGACAACAGATAAACATCGTGACTAATATGTTCCTCTCGTACTCAACTGCACGAGTCAAGTCTTACTGGAACTGGATATTGCTCCTGGCACGCCGCCACGCAGCGTTTATCACGGCGATTACAAACCTTCTATACAGTGCTATACCGCCTTGCCTTCTACCTCCAACACAAGGCTATGTTCTCCTGCCCCTAGGAACTCAAAGTACAAGATAAACACTTTTTTTCTTTTTTTTTTTTTTTTTTTTTAAATATTCAACCAATACCCGTGCTGTTCCAGTCCCAGACGCTGGCGGAAGCGCAGCCGGAGCGGACGCCGGGTACCTGGCACATTCGCCACCTGGTACTGCTGGCTAGGTTTCCACAGCAAGATTCTTCTTTATTTATTTGATCCTGAAGACATTCCGGGCTTTGGGGACAGTTTTAGGTTCTTTGCCCTCTGCTCACAGGCTACAAGGCACACACGTGCGGGCAGGTATAAAGTAAAAGCAATTTCATAAGGAACTCCTACGTATTGTTAAAAAAAAAAGCCAAAACAAACAAAAAAGGCTTTTTAAGAGGAAAAAGTCACGGTAGGCATTAATATTGTCACAACTGTGCTTAAAGACATTGCAGCCTGGAAGGACGCGAGCTTTACCTTTGCTTGCTGCAGAAGGGAGAGAGCAGGATGCGACCTGAGCTACCGCGGGTGAGCACCCTCCCCGCTGGCACCGAGCACCCCGCCGAGACGATCCGGGCTCCGTACCGGAGAGCCGCAGCCTGGGCTGAAGGAAACCTGCCCGTCTGTCCCACGGACACTTCCCTGCCCTGGGACCTACGGAAAGTCCCCGGGATGAGACGCACGGACCGAGCGGGACCACAGGCAGAGCCCCGTTCCCAGGGCAGGTCCCGAAGCGGGGACGGGACACCAAGCTCTGCCTCGTCACCCCCCTCCTGTCACCGAAGCCACGCTGCGACTCAAGCGAGGGTAGAGCGGAGGATGCTCACGTGCTTGCCAGCATCCCGGGACGCATCCTGCATCCATCGCTGGTGTGCAGCGACCACGAGGCTCGGGCTGGCGTGTGCTCAGCCGGCTCGGGACGAGGACAAAAGGCAAATCCAGCTCCTCCGGGGCTTTTGCACTACCCAAAACCAAGCTGGTTATTTTCTTAGGCACAGAAAAGGAGAAAATTCAGCTTAAATTACAGGTAACCCAGCAACCCCACCGCGCCGTGCCATCTCCCTGCACGTTCCCAGTGAGTTCGGATCCAGAATCCCTGACCCCCAAAGCAGCACTACAGCTCGCCCAGCTCCCCTGTCCCCAGCGGGATGCGGCAGTGACGGGAAGATCCCGCTTTAAAACAGGACGCGCAGGAGGATGCTGCGATCCTTCCCTTCGAGGATAGTTTCGCTCTGTTTTAATTGCGTATAAAAGACACCGGGGCAAAGGGGGGCGGGGGGGAATCTCCGCTCAGGTTTCCAGGAGCAGGTCAGCTGGCTGCCAGAACGCCTTGGAATACAGGGGTGGGGGGGAAAAAAAAAACCCAACAACAAAAAAAACCCCAACAAACCACCGAAGGAACATCACTCTGGTTGCAGCCCTGACTTATTGTTCTCTCGGTGCCTGCAGCGATTTTGTTTTTGAAGAGCTGAGAACAGAGTGTACCGAGTGCGGCTGGCACACGAACTTGATGTGCTGACAGCAATTTGTACTCAGATTAAAAACGGAGGAGGAGGAGGAGGAGGAGGGAGGGG